CGCCCTGATAATATTGTACAATAGCCGTCATGTTGGTATGACTTGTGTATTAATTTCTATCAATATAGTGGGTGCGTACTACATAATAATAATTCCATAGACTACTATCCTCTCTGCATGATGGATGCCGCACAGAATATCCTAATACTTTTGAAAGAAATGGATATTTAACCTTAAATGATTACCTCCACTTAGGCAACTATTTACATAAATGCATGCATTCAATTATAGGCTGACCTATGTTGCATATCACTATTTACATAAATATTAAAAGGACCTAAAACTAATATACATATTTTAATAATGAAGCAGCTCGTTGAAAGCTATCGGCCTAAAGTAGTGGCGTTCCTGAGCATTATTATAATGCTATAATGAGGAGTTTTAAAAACATGAAGAAGAAAATATACATAGGTAGGTACAACAAATGAATTCTAATTAATTTATGAGTTGAAGGACAATTTCTGTATGTATCTTCCTAAATGAGATAGCTTCCCCTCACTTTCGCTACCCATCTACCTGTGAAAAATCTCCTCATTTACATCCTTTTCTTTGCCACCTCTTTTTATTTTCTTTATCTACTTTAGCCAATGAAAATGTTATACATAGAGCGGCATTTCTTTGTTTTCATCGCAGTGAGCCTCAAAATTGATATTTTAAAACAAGCAAATAAATGAAAACGGTTTGTCAAAGGTGGTAAAAACCATTTACCCATTAGTTTACACTAAAATAGTCCTTCATTCTTTACAAGAGATCGGCGATATATCTGTTTTTGGACATTATATAAATATCCCTTTAATCTTTTTCTTGAAGTATGGGCTCCAAAAAGAGGACAACGACCATTGGATACATTATGTACATTGTACTTAACACATACAAACTTATGTACTTAAATAAGTATATATAGAAAATTCAAAGTAAAAAGTGAACTAGTTAAAGGGTTATGGTAATTAACTTAAATTTTAGGAAAACACTCTCGCGACCATACAATGTGTCTACAAACTTTCATACAAAATAAATAATAACATTTATGTATTTGTGTCGCCGGATGAGTATAAGTTATAGGTCAGAGGAAGACATAACAAATACGCGAGTGATAGAGACAGGGAGAGAGTGAGAGAGAGATTAGCGGAACACTAAAGTTAGCATCTGGTTACTCAGCAAAGTCTTTTAAATAACTCTTCGCTTTCAGAACGGGTTACAGGACTTTAGCAGCAACTACCTGTGCCGATATAATCTCAAACAACTAATGACCGCAAGTTGACAATATGAGTTGCTGCAATCACTTTTATCAGTATCAAACTAACAGCGATCGCGACGGTGTGTCAGCGTTCACGAATATTCGGCTCGCGGCTTACATTTATTTAGCAAAAGGATTTACGAGAAAATAATCGAGTGTTGTGAAGTGGCGCGCTTATGCCGTGGATTGTTGTGAAACACAAATCTAAAAGGAAGGACTACATTCAGAACATAGCAGCACGAGCGGTATTTCGATAAGAAGTGTCAATGACGCGATGTGTGAAAAAAATTTTTAGAAATACAAAGACTAGTGATATATCGAACTTACTTACATAAGATGAGTTTGTGGAAAAACATTAACTAAAAGCTAAAAATAGTGATTAAAAAACAAATATATAATTATAATAGAAATTTGTAAATTATTATACACATTTTTGTAGTAATGCTATAAATAAAAAGTTTTAAAAGTAAAAAATATAAAATAATAATAAAATTAATTTTACACTAGTGTAAAATAAATAAAAGATCGAGTTATTCTTGTTCAAGTATAATCTCCGCCAAATCATGGCGGGCTATAGACAATCAAACTGTGCGCTTATTCAATTGGTACCAGCCCCTTTGGTGATATCGGTGGTTCCACTACAAAGTGAGTAAAAAATTATGTTATTTTGTATGTTTTCTATTTTATTTAAACTACTAAATTTAGATGACTAATTTTTATTAAATAGAAATATGCTAACATTTTGTCGATGTGCTTAAAACTAATGGAAATAAAGGGTTTTAGCGGAAAAAATTGGAATTAATTGTTATAATATTTTACCAAGGACTAAATTTTCCTTTTTTGTGTGGCGATTGGAAAAATGTTAAGATTTACACGGTGGAAGAATACAGAAGGTGGTGCCGATGACAACACCGCTTATCGCCTCTCAGTGATTTTGACAGAATCAGCTCTTTGCTGACGTCACAGTCGAGATGACAGCAGTTGTGATGTGTTGAGTCAATACTTTTGAGTATTGATCGATATTCGGTACTGATTTAAAAAGTATCCAATGCTCTCGATACTCGGTACCGAAACACTTAGGTTTCGAATAAAAGCGCACATAGGTCAAAAATATGGAAAAACGGTTCAAAACGCGAATGTAGGATACTGATTCAAATGAAAGATTTATATATGTCGGTTAGAGGCCATAATACAGAGAAACTCTATCACGATATCACTTTTGTAGGCCTGGGGGCAAATTCCGTAACCAGTTAGTGACAATGAAATATTTTTACGTCAACAAGTGCGATATCGATTCGAAACTTGTCGCAAACTGGTTACAGAAAGGCTTCTTCAACCGTAAAAGCATTTTTCTTGAACCTTGGATCGGCTAAGGTTAAAACTGATAAAATAATATTTCTCTCTTGCGACAAGTTCATGTGTTTTAGCCGATATCATATAAATTAGTAATGAAAGTTTTTTCTAAACTTGAAATGCATATAATGGCGAAGGTTTAATGTAAAGAATCGGTTCGGGTACCGAAAAGGAAGTATTGGGTATGGAAATCTTTTTTAAGTATTGGGTACCGACAATTCAGCACATCACTAGAGAGCAGTTTTATTTGCCGCTCTTAGTTGTCAACTCTACGATGACGTCACGCCAAAATTATNTGAAAACCAGCTTTTATTCACACACACAGTTCAGTGTCTAGGATGTCTTCAAATTTCATATTTTCTTTAGATGAGAACTATAGCTATTTGACCCATATTCGCTTTTTGATTTCTGGAAATACATTTAAAATGCTTTCGAAGTTACTTCCTGCATTTGATTATTTTCTCTAGACTTGCTGCACCTATCGAAAGGAATCGGATAAATAAGCAGACTTTTCCTGTTGTTTTATAAAAAGCTGGATAAAGAAGTATACTTCGCAAAGTGTGTTTTTTGTCTTTTTCGCCAATATTTTTCAGTAGCCAAAATTAGACAAAAACATCGCTTCTCCGATTCCCATTAGATTACATGTAGCCCATAGATATAGCCTCAGTTAAAAAAAAAGCATCTATCTTTTGTATACATGTTTTAAAAAACATTTATAAAAAAAAAAACTACAAATGAATGATGTAACTTTTTTATGTACAATCTGTCTCATTTAGGTACATTTATTTTATGATATTAGGTACAATCTCAAATTTCCATTTTTCAACCCTGCTGCTAACTCTCTGCCCATGCCTGCTTATTATGTATCTCGAACGATAGGCATCTGCAGAAGAATACTTCAAAAATTCATTCGGTGACATTATTTGAGCCGATTTAAACGTAACCGAGATGATTGCGACGTAATCTCCGTAAAGCGAGATAAACGATAGATTAATAAAATTGCAATCAGATACAGGATCGTCTGTAGACGAATCGTTCGTGCGGGCTATCGTTCGTGATACATAATACAAAAATTTACGATTTGTGATCAATACAAACCGCTGTGGTATATAGGAGTTCTCAAACAGATGCGGTATACCGGTGCGATACGATGCGTTCAAAAATTGTATCGCAGCAAGCACAATTAATCGAGACGAAAGTATAATATTCGATGTGAATACTATTTAGTTATAGATATCAAGACCGCGGTACAAATCTGACAAACGTCGGGATGGGCTGGTTCGGGACCTAAAATTTAATATCGGTATAGTCGGAATCTTGATTGAACATTTAATCTCGCGCCTAGCTTTAGTGTTTACTTTTATAGCCCATGAAATTTTAGTATAATGTATTTTTCTCTTTTACGGGTTTGTCCAAAAAATTTCTTAAGTTGAGATGGAAAAGTTAAAAATTTTGATGACCATTTTGCCACATTTTTCACAGAGTTTGAAACTTTGAAACTCGTTTGGTTATAGCATGAAAAATATTTTTATACAAAATTAAAAAAAAAAACAAATTTTAACTTGAAAGGCATTGCAAATATTTTAAGAAATCACGTTATGGACGGTTGTTTGAGTCATTGTGTATGGATGTAAATTGGGTCCTCTTTAGAGATCTATGTATAGTGAAATTTAGCGAGCAATTTCTCTAAACAATGTTAACCTCTCAATTCCTCCAATTTAATTTTTAATGGTAATGTCCTAAAAAAATTTGGCAAGGAATTTCCTCTTGTTGTTACGGAAGTTATTTCTGTGGCCATAAGCCATAACTGCCTAAGTCGAAAAACCTGAATTCAAGAACGAACGTTTTAAACTAAAATAAATTCGTCTATAACTTTTTAAATAGCCTAGCTGGTGAGATGGAGATTCCACATACACATGGAATAGTAGTTGTAGAATACGATCGCATATATAACTCAATTCCTTCTTAGGTCGACTTAGGCGGTTATTGCTTGTAACCACATATTTATCGCTTTCCTCTTCAATGCTGAAGTAAATTCATAGCTGTTCCAAATTCGAGATCAAAAATATTGATTTAAAAAAAATGTGTGTTCAAATGTGTGTTCAAATTAGTAGCTTTAAGGATCGTTGGGATAATTTTAATTCATTTCTTGCACCTTCTGCATGTGATATGTTGTAGTCGAAATTTGTAGGCTTTTTACTAAACCAAACCTTTACATATATACCGTAGAATTTTATTTTCTACATACATATGTATATGCATGTATTTCCACATTTAATCTATGTTCTCTTCTTTTAAGATTTTGTTAACGAAATATTTCCTTTTTTTGTTTGATTTTCTTTTAGATAATGTGGTGCCACCTCCTCCTCGTTATGTAATTCAAAAAATTTACAGAAGTGGGAATCCGGCAATGCGGCGTCAACTGATTCCGCTACAAGAGCTTCAATTGCATCAGAACCAGGGACATCAACAACAGTCTTCGGGATTACAACAGTTGCAGCAACATCAGCCGAATCAGCAGCAAAAGCAGCGAGAGCTGCTCATAAAACAGCAGCAGGAACAACGGCAACAGATTTTACAACAACAACAGTTGAGACAAAAAGAGCAGCTGCTATGGCGGCAGCATCAGACACAACAGGAAGAGGTAAAACGAGAACAACAGCTTAAGCATGAAGAGCACCTGAAACAGCAACAGCTGCTTAAGCAGAATCAACGCCAAGAACAGTTTTTGAGAGCAAAGCAGCATCAGAAATTGAAGCTGTCTAAACCATGCAAACCACGAGTGCTCAAACGAATCGAACTCCACAACAGTCATAACCAAAAAATCGCCCGCCCAAGCACCCGAATGTTGAGTAAGCCATTCAAATTATGCATTTCGGAGACCGAGTTGTCGCGACGTTTGCGCTGCTTCACCATCAAGCCGAATTTTCTGCGCGTCTATGGCTACCCAGTTGAGAGCGTGAAACACAAAGGAAAAGTGGAAATATTTAAAGGCCTGCCAGATTCTTCGCGCGCATGCAATTCAAAATCAAAGTTGGAACTGGTCAACTTTGGATTGCATTTACGTTCTTATTCTGCTAGCAGCACCGACTCCGGCCATGGTTCGAGCGCATCCAGTTCACCCAACGCCGACTCGGATTCGAGCGAAACTAGCGAGGATGAGCCAATTATCGCTACTGCCTATTTCACAGCCAGTGGCCGAAGTCAGGTCCTTCCGCCGAGTGCACACTCATTGAGAAAACAATGTGTGCGCTGTTTGAACTTCTTTCATGTTACGGACGCTGGCACATATCTTAAACGCGAGAACTGCACCTTTCACTGGGGTAAAATCTATGAGTTGTATAACGACCGCGAGCGCCGCTACATCGAGCAGTATACCTGTTGTTTTGGTACTAAAGAAGCGGCTGGTTGCACACGTCATCCGCAACACGTGTGGACCGGTGTGGTGGCTGGCTTCAATGGCCCCTACAGTGACTTTGTGCATACGGGTCCGCATGGAGATGATAAAAGCGCAGCGACCAAAGTGTATGCACTCGACTGCGAAATGTCTTTTACCGGTCGTGGACTCGAAGTGACAAAGGTAACGGTGATTGGCTATGACGGGCAGGTAGTTTATGAGCATTTCGTGCGACCTTTTACTCATATTGTCGACTATAACACGCGTTTCTCAGGCATCACTGAGAAGGATCTCTGCAAGTTTTGGAATAACGACGTAAAGACATTGACCGAAGTGCAGCGCGACCTCTTAAATTTGTTCGATGCCGATACCATACTCATCGGTCATGGGCTGGAGAATGATTTACGTGTGTTGCGTATGGTGCACAAGACGGTGGTCGACACTTCTATCGTATTTCCGCACAGACTCGGATTTCCATATCGTCGTTCGCTGAAACACTTAACCAAATCATATTTAAAGCGCGATATTCAAGTTAGCGGTGATGGGCACGATAGTCTTGAGGACACGCGTGCCTGCCTGGAGTTAATGCTGTGGAAGTTGGACAAGGAAATGCGTACGAAAAGATGCTGAGAATGGCATCGAAGCGAAGGCGTTATGTCTTTTTAGTATCCACTTTGTTCGACTTTATGGTATTACGTTATCTTAATTGGTGCGCTGTCAGTCAGAGCATTGTGCCTTGTTGTTTTCGGTAATTTCTCTCCCTACTCTCTTTGTACATTAAACTATGGTGAGTACGGTTTTCTTCGCCGCATTTCGAGTTATATGTATTCTAAGTTTTCTGGCTGTAAGACAATGACGTATAGTCACTTAACGTCAGTTTTTCACCTCGATTCAAAGAGAGTACTCATTCGATGCCGTTTTTTGGGTTCTTGTGTGATTGGTTTGTGAGTGTAATTACGATTGTAGTTCGCCAATTTCTAGAGGGGTTGCCGCTAATTTGAGAAACCCATTTTGGACTGATGTTCTTGCAAACAGCAGGCATTAACAATCCTCCGATTTTTCCACTTTTCTCTCGCTGTTAATCCGCTTTTAGGCAGTGTTTTATAGTTTTATATAATAAGCTCTCCATGTGTCGTGTTATTTGTTTATTTTTGGGTTAAATTTATTTAATAAGCAATAATATAACAACAAAGCCGTTTAAGTTTAAGAATTAAAATTAAACTTCATAATAATAAGAATAAGAGAAAATATTGAGATGAGTTAAAAATAGCAGGAAATTGAGGAAAACCGATTTTTGTCGCTTTCGAAATCCTTAAAACCCCAAAAGTCCTCACAAAACAAATTTCCTTTGTTAAGATACTAGTTAATTTCCATGGACTTTGAGGCACTGAGTCTGAAGTCAGAAGTAAAAAGTTGGCTCGCTATTACTTTCTAACCTATAAAAAAACTTATATTGATACATTAATAGTGTCAGAGTCTAATTTTGACTTCAGATTCGGGGCTGTTTTCATTTTCCGGAAAAAAATATGTATGCGTGGACTTTTGACCAAACAACTAAATTTTGAACTTTTGCTTTTTGAAGGTAAAATAATTCTGCATTTATACTCAGACAAAAAATTACAGAGATATATTAAAGTTTCTTTAAGACTAGAACTACAGAAGGGTTACAGGAAAACTCCAAGCTCGTGAAGAATTTGCATGAGTATAATCGAAAAAAAAGATATCTGCATAAGAATCAAGACCTGAAAAAGTTTGCACACATGATTACACTGTGCGACAGTAAATTTTACACACAAAAAAATTTATATAATCGCGAAACCATGAGCCAAATATGGTAAAACTACGTTAAAGAGAAGATTTTGGAGAATTAAGGCCGATTAAATTTTTTACAGCATACGGACCTAATTGTCCTTTTAACATTTTATCATTGATTATCCTTGAAATCTTACAATAATTATTTTCGAAAAATTATATGTTAAGGACTAATTAGTACACCACATCCTCGAATTTCATCCTTCTAACTTTATTCGCTTAAAAAAATAAAACTAATTAAAAGAACATTTTCAATACCTAGTCGTCCTTGTGAACCAAAAAAATTTTAATGGTTTTTAATTCTACAGAATTTTCTCTTTCATTTGGTACCAATGTTGTTTTTTTACATTGGAATGAATTTTTTAAATAATTCATAATAATCATATCTTATCATCTTATCTTATACTCATATCTTAGAAACCACAAAGTCCTTTAAAAAAATCCTAACGTCAGAGAGAAAAACTAAAAACGTAGTTTTACTATATTCGGCCATAGTTTTTTGTTTTTGTCGCACGGCGTAATATTTTATATAAAAAAATGTTTCGTTAATTTTTTATTAAAATATATTAAATTTAAAATATTAGTTTCAAACTTTGTATTAAAATTTATAAAAAACTCGCCAAATTTTCAGCAAAATTTCTCAGTTTTTAGCAGAATTTTCAGAAATTGTTTGTGGTATACAGTTTTATAGCCCATAGTGCAAGATTGAGGTGCCAAGAAGTGCTGTTAATTTTTGTTAACCTTTTTTTGCTGACAAAAAATATCAAAAATTAACAGAATTTGTAGCACCTTCAAACTTGTCCATTATTATACTAAAATTGAATACTAAAAAAAAAACCAAAACAATAATTATAAATTTTGCTGAAAATTTAACAATTTTTGTCTAACTTTTGGACGAGGTTTAAAACTTATGTATATTTATTATTGTTGGTGGTATGCAGGTATATAACCCATAGTAAAGATGCTAAGAATAAGAAGTACCGTAGATTTTTGATATTTTGCTGAAATTTGCACATTATTATACTATAGTTGAAAGGATTATGAAATAAAGGAAATATTTGACAAAAACTTAGAAGTAATGCTGAAAATTCTCGGTATTAGATAAGGTTCGAAACTTATATTTAAAAAGGTAATATTGTTTTTATAAAAAATTTAAGTAATTTTGTTATGAAGAACAAATTGTTAAGAAATCTCTGTACGGAAACTTTTTCTAGTAGGTGTATGCATACAAACAAACAAAAAAAATTACGATGTAGAACTATTTGTGTATATACATATGTACATTAGGGTGTGCCAAAAATTACTTCTCGATTTGTTTTTAAGCTCTCCTCATTTATAACTCCTTTTTGATATGTAAACGATAATGATATTCAATTTATGCTATGCGAAATTTTTTAAACTATAAAAATTATAATTTACTGAACGAACGTTTTTCAGTTTTTTTTTGCCAATACGCCAATTAAGGTTTGTAGGACTGTTTCATTGACAATTATAGCTCAATTCTGTATCGGTGACAAAAATTTATTTATTGACAAAATTGCCACTGATACAAAATAGAGCGGTTAACCTCTTTTAAAAGACATCTTTGTTTATCGTGCAAAAACGGTTGCATTCTGAAATATTTTTTAACTAATTGGTAGCTTTCGCAGCCACTGCAAAGCCACAAAACCAAATTGTAGCGAACCAAAACTGTGTATCAACAACACAAATAGTATTTTTGTGACACACCTTAATATGCATTTTTTGAGTTTTTGATGCAAAATAGATATTAAAACTATAAAAACGGCAACTAAACTGCCAAAAAACTTAAAAAAAAAAATGTTAAAATAAAAAAAACAAACGGAGTACGATAAAAAATCTGAAAAACATACATATACAAACATAAAGGTTTTGCACAAAATTTGCTTCAGAGTTATTTCTAAAAAGGGAGACAAAATTTAGACATATATTTAAGATATTGTTAAAACGTATTTCCAAAATGTTACTAAGAACCTTTTAGTTGTGAGGGCGAAGAAATTTATATATTTGTAATTATAAATCAAAAAATACACAAGTGTGTACGCCGTAAATATTTGTAAAAAAATAGCAAAAAGCTTATCGTAAAAGGTTAATTAAAAAATAACGCAGCAAATTTTTGAAAGCAACACATAGCTAATTTACTGTTCCTAAATCTAAAAGCCGTGTTTAGTTATAAAAGTATGCTCTCTTAAATGTACAAAGCAAAAACAGACAATTGTTGAATAATAATAAGTATAAAACTAGCATTTATGTATGTAAAAAGTAAAAAATGAACCAAACATATGTGAGAGTATGTATAACAAAGAATAACACGACATAAATAGTTATAACAAAACAACAAACAATGAGTCTAATGACTGCAAAAATAAAATTAATAATGATAATTTTGATACAGAAGTTATACATTCTTTCAATTTAATAAAAAAGTTGGTAACAGGCGCCGAAGCAGTTTGTTCACACCAGTGAAGCAAAAAAGGTAGCGTTGGACCTTCAACGGCAACTTTTTATACATATTTTTCTTTTTCCGCCCTGAAAACAGCATGTAATGATTTAAAAAAAAATTAAATATATTTTTTGGTTTTTGGGACCATGAAAATGGATTCCTGAACGCAACAGCAAGAATATGTACATTCTCGATGCAAATGTTTAAAACTCTTTTTAAAAAGTTTATTGCATACTGTTTCAAAGTCAAAGAGGGAAAATATTTAAGCCTACAATTTTCATGGAGTTACAGTGGCACGGATTTCTCAATCCTCTTGCATCCTAGTTCATGCACTATGGATAACGTGAGCAGCCCATTTGCAAGATGCGGTAACCAATCCGAGTGGAACCTTCGGTGACGGCAGAAAGAGAGGGAAATTCGGTGGGGCCAGATCGACTTATTCGGCTTAAGGTCTCACTAAAGTCTGCAGCTACTGCTCACGGGCGTCTGTCTTGGAGCAAGCGACTCTATATATAAATGTGTATCCTGTTGAAAAACATTCACCCCAGCAATGGTTGTGCGCTGGGCTTGGGACCCGCCACGTACAAAATATACCAAGTGAAAATACTAAACCAGCCTCGGTTAACTGCATCCCCACATGTTGACGACCCCCACAAACGGAACAAGGACTACGATTTACGGATATGATCTTGGAATGTCCGGAGCCTCTATAGGGAAGGTGCCTCTCTGACTCCGACATCTTCTTCCAGATGCGCTTCCATCAGTGAACGAATTGCCACAACCCACATAAAGGCAAAATTTAACAAGACCAGCCTAATATGTGCGCACGCCCCAATGGAGGAGAAGAACGTTGAGACCAAGGAGCATTTCTATGAGCGCTTAGGACAAGCGTATGAGCGTTACTCCCGCGACGATGTTAAAATCGTACTTGGCGACTTTAATGCCCGGATGGGCAAAGAAGGCATATTTGGTCCAGAAGTCGCAAAATTAAGCCTTCATGACAACACCTCCGACAACGAAGAGTGGCTGATCGACTTCGCCGCGGCAAGGAACATGGCAGTTAGTAGTATCAGTAAACCAGCATCGAAACATCCACAAATCAACTTGGGTGTCCCCTGATCAAAGAACGAAGAATCAAATTGATCATGTTGTGATAGTTGGAAGATACGCTTCGAGCGTTCTTGACGTGCGCTCTATCCTAGGTGCCAACTAAGGTCCGCATGCGCCTCTGCAATGCGACGAAAGTTCGACGTCGCAAAGCTGTGGTTACAACGGGCAGCCGTAAAATTTAGCACCCGACTCTAAATTCTGCTTACTAAAGCAACTCCTCATCGCCTGGATATAAATGATCAGTGGG